AAATGTGACAACTTTAAAGACCTCACGCCATCACTCTGAGGCTTCCACTTTTAGAACTGTGCACTGTGGGAAAACTTTAATCTGCATTTTCAAAAAAAAGCTTTTGATGCCATTGTTACACATCTTTCTGATTCAAGTGTTATACATGGCACATAAAACTCTACCAGGAGCTCAATGAACCAAGCCAAGGCCTAAGCATTAGAGAACAAATGGTCTCAGCCAGAGAACTGAACAGTGATAAAAAGATCAATGGTAAAAGAACGAATAGTAGGATGATTTATAAAATGAAATGAAATTTTAACAAATATTCTCAAGAAACAGTCAAGTATATACAACCACTCAGAGTCACAGTTCAGAGGTGAAAAGCTGTAGTTTAGTCTTAGAGAAAAACCCCAGCCCTCTCTTGTCCCAGGCCCTTCCCACCCCATCCCCTGTAGTACTGTGAGGCTGGCCCAAGGCAGGCGGCTAAGCTTCTCAGGCCCCACCTAGACATCTTTCCTCCTGAGGCCCATTCCATTCCAAGCCATGGACTGGTCAGCCATTGCTTAATTCTTACTCAATGAACACATACTGCACATCTCTCCGGTGCTTGGCGCTGGGGACCGATCTCTTTATACTGAGGTGAAAGCCTGCCTCTTACCCTCCGCAGGAGTTCTGTCTGACCTCACGGCTTACAGAGAACACAGCTAATGAGCAGCAGTAAAGCTAGAACAGAAGGTGGCAGCTCCCCATAGCCCCCTCCCCATTAACGCCATCCCACTGGGTCCCCCACCTTCTCCCCAGCACCCCACCAGCATACCCTCAGGGCTCACCCAGAAAGGAACGCCAAATTCGTATACCCAGAGGTCCTGGGAAGTTTCACTATCACCGTTACTGCTCCAGGGACATTCATTTTCCGGCATCTATCCTCTTACCTGCCTCATTGCAGTGGTTCTCAATGAATGGAGTTTTCTCTTCTCCCTTGACCTACAACACTCTTTCCTCGGCCTGAGCTCCTACTCACCCTGCAAGAGCCATCTGGAGGAGCGCTCCTTTTCTCTAATCACTACAAGCAGGGGAGTTTTCAGCAGGCCCAGAGGATGCTGTCTGTACCTGTCTTCAGCACACCGCCTTCTACTTGGATGAAAATCTGACCCCTTTTTACTCACTGTATGGATACAGACTCCACAGGAAGGGCCAGTCTCCTCTACCTAATAGTAGCTACAATGAATGTGAGAACTGGGAACTTGTGTTAGGATAAAGCACATGAAGAACTTGCAATGACCAAGGTTTGGCTAGAATGGATCCCACCTGGAGAGAGGGCTCTCCTGGCCTTCGTCATTGGAGAGGAGGCTGCCACCAGAAAAGGGGGCCCCTGGTAAGCGGCAGACGAGGTACCAGTCTTAGCTAAAACAGAGATGAGCTGTCCGGAAGGAAGCTCCTAAGCCAGGAATGTAAAATGGCATTCACTCGGACAAGAAGGTGGGAAACAAGCGGGGAAGTGAGGACCGCAGGGTACCAAGGCTGGGCAGGCCCTCTGCAGACAGGGCCCAGCTCAAGCAAAGCATGGACAGACCCAAAGGAGGCAGCGAGTTCCGGGAGCGAGCTCTGTGTCACCTCAGCTCCAGGAATAGACATTTGTAACAAATGAGCCTGTTTGGTATGCCTTATGATCGCTTCTGTTTCCTCCGCTGGTATCCAATAAAGTCCCAGCTCCTAACTGTGTGAGGATGAACCAAGAGTGAGGGCTTTCATCTACTTTTTCGTGAAGATTGGAACTTTATCAGCCCACTACTGACAGCAGTGGTGGGGTGAAAACGGTAATCCATGTGGAAGACTCATCGTCCAAAGGAAGCTGAGACTTGGGGACCACAGGGTTGTGGAATCAAGTTGAAAATTCTCCATTCAATACTAAATCTTAGAGGTTGTAGTTGTTGTGTTATCTCCCAAAATTTTCCCCACTAAATGGTGAACATCTTGAAAGCACCTTGCCATCTTTACTGACCAATGTAGTGTACACACGAGCTTGGAACCGAGGAGGAACTCAGACGTTTGTTGATGAAAGCAATACATGGGCTTTGAAAGTTTTAAGGCACCTTTATTACAGACCACCCAGTTCAATCCTTTTCCCACAAGTATACGTTTGTCCACACACAGCTTTCATGGGTTGTTATAAAATTCATTCAACAAACATCAATTAAATGTCTACGATAGCTTAAGATGCTGTGCTTTCAGACACAGAAACAAAAATGCACGTCACTAACACAACAAATGTTTGGGGCCTACCGAGGGTCAGGCACTGCGCTAAGAGCCTAAAGATGCTACGATGAAAAAGACACTCATAGCACCTCAGGGAACTCGTGGAGAAGGAAATAATGGACAAGTACCTCTAATACTACTTACAACAGAAAATGTTCAGGGATTTCAAAGGTATAGATAAAGGCTATCAGCAGTCAGATGTCAAAAGAGAGACCAGGGTTTGAAAAGAATTTATGGGACACAGTCATTCAGGAAGGGAACCTCGCTGTGGTTTAACCTTACAGTTAGAAATGAAGACTACTAGTTTCTGGCTGAAACAGTTAATGGAAATGGCTTTTTAGTTTTTGATAAAAATCAATCTTCTATCTTCATACCTTTAACATTATGTCAAGAGACACAGACATGGATTTTGAAGAGCAAAAACACAGATCAATCCTCTTTTAATAGAAACCATAACCAAAACTGAGTTATTTTCATTTGTGAGTAGAGAAAATCAGACTTCTTGACTTGAGTATTAACAAAACATATATAAAGAATAATCCTGGACTTATGATTGGGTCTTATTTAACAGTAATTCTATAGTAAAACAATTTCTATTATTTACATTAACTAGGAAAGTGAAAAGGAAGCAAATACATAAACCACATTTATTTTATCCTACCATCAAATGAAATTCACCTTTGTTTCTTTCATATGTGCCCCTCTGCCTCTCTAAACACTTTGAAATGCATCCTGCCAAAGCTATTTCCTTCAAGATAACACACTGAAACGGGACTCAGAAGATGGGAACGAGGTCTGCTCCACCACCAGCTCTGTGAATTTGGGCAGGCGAATTTCCTGGCCTAGATTTTCTCATCCGTAAAATGAAGCTGTTAGAGCAAATAACCTCTAAGATCTTTTTGAACTCTTTTCAAAAAAGAATTTTTTAAGAGAAACCATGAAACCTTACCTCTACTCCCAAACCGTCAACCAAAGACAAAAATTTGAAAACTGATATTAAAGGAGCTTAGGTTTACCTACCTTCCTCCTTTCACGTGATTCAACAAATTACTTCTTAATTTCCTACAGCAGTTATGTTAGGCTGAGCAGCTTCATCTCTAACAGATACCGACTGGGAAAGCATTGCCTATCCATATATTCCTCTAAATATAATTCTATGACAAAGAATTTCTAAGTCCAAAAGTAATCTCTTTCACAGAATGTTGTCTCTATCGAAAATTAAACTCAAACTTCTTTGCGAGTTTCAAAAGGGGGTCTACACCCGTGCATTCCACTTCAGCCACTTTCAATCCTGTTCACTGCAGACTGCCTGCCGCTGGTGTTTGTCCACAGTGTTTTCCAATGGCTCTGCACAGAAAACGAATCAAGCACGGTTTGGCCATTTGCAGGGCGTGCGATGTAGACACGCACATGGCACTAATGTACTCACCCTACTCATACTGAAAAAGCTATGACATGAGAAGACCTATCTGGCAAATTTTTGGAGGCCACTCTGTGGGCAAACTGCTGAAATAACCATAAACACACTAACGAACACTTGGTTGCTTAATCTCTGACTGCAATTTTACAAATCACCCAGAAAAAATACTCTCTACCGCAGCACAATTTGAATTTACACTAAGAAAAACAAAAACCAAAATAAAAAAACCTAACCACTACTTTAAGGTTAAAGCCCCTCATTATACTGCCAGTGTCACATTTTTTTAGGATGCTAGCTGGTGTTATTAAAGCAACAATTACAGATAAATACCAAAAGTACCACCAAGCTAAAGCAGCATTCCTATGGAAATGAGCTTCGTCAGCCTAATTTTTGCATACTAAAGGACATTAAGCTAAAGCGAAAACGCTACGGTCTGAAAAACATGGGAGGAATATTAAAGGCAGAACAAACTGGCGCCACTTCTACAAATTAAGCGAAATTAAGTCTAAGGAAAGGAAGCAAGGGAAGGGAAGGAACTCCAGAACTATTTGCAGTAGCAAATGGGTCCCTCCAAGTTCTAGGCGCTTCCCCTTGAGCTCGAAGAGGTAACTAGAGGGCGAAGGAGAGAAACCTTTAGGCAGAAACCCTACTTTTCACAACTTGGAATATTCGTTGAATTCGGTGTCAGATGCCCGGGAACACTGGACTCGGTGTGTCTGGGAGAAGGGAGTGGCGTCTTTCTCAGTTGGGAGCCCTAAGAACAGCGCCAGGGCGCTCAACCCCTCCGTTCTGGCGCAGGGCGCCCGGAGCATCCTCCCCACGCTCCCACCTGCAGGGCCGGGCGGTTCTTCCCTCCGCCTCCCGGCCTCAGGGCTGGACCACGTCCTCCGGCCGGGACACCGTTAGTCCGAGGGCCGGCCCAGCCCGCGCCAGGCCAGAGCGCACGCCGGGGCCCAGGCTCCGCTCCCCGAGAGCGCGGCCGGACACCAGTCCCACAGGGTGCGCAGGACGCGAGTGCGTAGGCCTGGGGCGCGCAGGCTTGGGGAGCGCAGGCTGGGAGATCTCAGGCTTCGGGGCGTGCAGGCTTGGGGCGCGTGCAGACTTAGGGCGCGTAGGCCTGGGACGCGCAGGCTTGAGGCGCACAGGCTTGGGGAGCGCAGACTAGGGGCGCGCAGACTGGGGGAGCGCAGACTTGGGGGCGCGCAGGCTTGGGGTGCGTGCAGACTTAGGGCGCGTAGGCCTGGGGCGCGCAGGCTTGGGGCGCGCGTCCACACGCACCACTGCGGGTCCGGGACGCCGCCCGCCCCACCTCTCCTCGCGGCCGCGGCGCTCCGGTCCCTACCTGTCCTCCGAGACGCTGATGACGCCCTCCTCCTTGGGCACGATCACGGCCATATTCACCACCTCCTGGGACCCCTCGACCCGCTGCAGCAGGACCGGTTTGCGGGTCAGAGGTTTGGGCTGGATCTCCGCCGCCATCGGAGGGGGCGCGCCGCGGGGCCGGGCTGAGGACACCGCTCGGGCTCGGGCTGACACAGGGACTGGGGATGGCCGGAGCGAGGCGCCGGGGACCCACGATCATAGCCTGGCCGCCGCGCTGGGAAAGACTCCGCGCTCCCGGCTCCGGGCACCGCCACCGCTAGGACCCGAACTGCGTCCCGGGCCACACCAGAGAGGGGCGGGGCCCTAGTGGGGGCGGGGCCCTAGTGGGGGCGGGGCTACCGGTGGGCGCAAGGGCGGGGGCACTTCCGGAAGGAGGGTGGAGGAGGAAAGCCGGGGAAGGGGCGGGGCACTGTCGGCCAACTGCGCGTGTGTAGCCACGCCTACCCACCACCGCCCCACCCCCTCGGCGGGGTCCGCAGCCTCGTGGCCCCTCCTCTATGGCGCATGCGCCTTCCGCTCTGCTCGCCCGGCGTGCCCGCTTCCGCGCTGAGGTGAGTTTCCTCCCGTGAGCGCGCGTGCACACGCCCCTGGGGACGCGCTTGCCCGACGTCCGGCCCCTCCGTCACTCCGGCAGGGGGCGAAGGTGGGTGGGGCGAGCGCGCCGGGGAGACGCCCGGAAAAGAAGAAGCCTGCGGGGAGGAAGGCGGCTGGGCTCGTTGGGGCGGGCCTGGGCCTGCGCGCGGGCTTCCCCGCCCCCCCCCCGGTTCGGCGCGGGCGCCCCTGGGAGTTGTAGTCCCTGCCGCCTGCTCTTCCCGGCCCCGCTCGGCCTGTGTTCCGGCTCCTCCGGGCCGAGCCCCGCCCGCGCTCGGTGGGGCCCGGGGGGCGGGGAAGCCCAGACGCTATCGAGGCGTCCCCCGGGGGTCCCGAGCTCTCCCGTGGTGTCAGCCTCCTCGGTTTTCCCAACGACTAAGCCGCGAGGGCCTCGGACTGGAACCGCGCCCACCCGCCCGCGTCCTGACTTCGGCCCCGCCACCCGGCCACCAGTCTTGATCGCTTCCTCCGGAGGCGGTGTGTGGGGAGAGGCCTGGGATCCGTGGAGGTGCGGGGCCAGGCGTGTGCAGCCTCGTGGCGCTGCCGCGCCTCGGCGTCCTGCCAGGGCTGAGAGCCCGGCCGTGGCGCTGCTCTGGTGCTTGTGGCGGCGCGGGGCTGGCAGGGCCTCCGGTGGTCGGAAGGGCGGAGTGCCCGCACTGGGCAGAGCCCGGCCTCAGAAGTGTCCAAGGCAGCTGCCCGGCGGCCGCGGCAGCGTGCAGCAAGCGCCTGTCCAGGCACGCGGGGCAGTTCTTGACCACGTCCCATCTTTGCTGGTCGAATGGTGCTGAGGTGTTCTCCGGCTTGGGGACCTAGACCGAGGCTTTCCACCCAGTGTCTCCCTGTTTAGCGGAGGGTAATACCACCTACCTTGGGTGGTGGTGTGAGGCTTACAAATGACAAATTTCAAGTTCCTTGATGTACAATAAGTCCTTTAAATTTCCGGATTAGGACATGGGTATATTCGGGGGACTGTTGTTCAGCCTGCCACAGTGGTTTTAAAAACCAGCCATATGCTCCTGGCTCCCGTTTTCATCTCTGCCCCGGACCGCACTCCTGAACCCCAGATTCACATGTCTGTTGGAACTCCACTTGTCAGGTGACTGTTTAACAGGGTTCCACACATTCCCAAACAGTATCTTTAAATCCAGCATAGTTCACTTGATTCTTCAAAATTAAGTTCCTAGGAGTCATGGTGGATGCTTCTCTTTAACTCTCAGTTCACATTCAAGCCACTAACAGGCCCTGTCAGCCACACTTCCGACTTTGCCACTTGCATCATCTCTGCCCTAGTGCAGGTCACCCCGTCTCTGGCCGCCATTACCACCGTAGCCTGCCTGCTCTCCCTGCTTCCTCTCTTGAACCCTCCCCACAAGCTCAAGCAATCCATGTTTATCACAGTAGCCAGAAGGGCTTTGTTTTAAATTATAAGCCATACTCTGTTACTCCTCGGCTTAAAATTTGCCAGTGCCTCTACATCAACAAAAAGGACAAAAGTCACATGATCATCTCTAGAGATGCTGAAAAAGCACTTGACAAAATTCAGCATCCATTCATGATAAAAACTCTCAGCAAAATGGGTATAGAGGGCAAGGACCCCAACATAATAAAGGCCGTATATGACAAACCCACAGCCAGCATCATACTTAACAATGAAAAGCTGAAAGCTTTTCCTCTAAGATGGGGAACAAGACAGGGAGGCCCACTTTCCCCACCTTTATTCAACATAGTACTGGAGGTCGTAGCCATGGCAATCAGACAGCACAAAGAAATAAAAGGCACCCAAATAGGCAAGGAACAAGTTAAACAGTCACTATCTGCAGATGACATGATATTGTACATAAAAAACCCTAAAGACTCCATTCCAAAACTACTGCAACTAGTATCTGAATTCAGCAAAGTTGCAGGATACAAATTAATACACAGAAACCTGTTGAATTCCTGTGTGCTAGTGACGAATTAGCA